CCGCCTCCTCACACACCTGCTGATGGTTACCTCGTTAGACGGAGTGTTCTTAAGCTGCTGACTGCCACTACTTCGACGCCAGAATTTTTCTAACTACACACATGACTTACTTAGATAATAAGACTTCTTTAACAAAAAGTGTTTGCCAGTTTTGGGTACTCTAGCCAAGCTGAGTTTTTGCTGAGTCAAGCTGAGTTTTTGTCAACCTGAGTTTAACTTTGTTTTTGTCTTTGCCTCTCGGCAGGAAGTCATCCTGCAAACTGGGTTTCTCGAACCTTCACTCCCTGGAAGGATCAACTGAGCTTCAAACTGAGCTGGGGTTACAAACAGGAGGTTTGGATCCACTTTCCCCAAGAGATCGTTTGAGCTTCTCACTGAGAAAGGGATAATTCTCCATTACGACCCATTCAAGTACCGCAGGAAATCAGAGTGGCAGTCAGTTTCTCCGTTCACCAACTCTCAACCCCATTCTGGGTAAACCCTGTTCCGCCCACCATCCAAATCAGACAAACACTGGAACCACGGCACACAGACAGGAGTCAAGGATTCAACAACTTCTCTGGAAACGTGAGTCGGCAACCAAATCCTCTTCTCCAAGCTCACGAGTCAATTTCCCCACTGAGCCTGAACTAACTGCTTTGTCTTCCCCTCACTTTTCAGTTCCGGTTGAGCAGTGTTCAGAGCAACACTTTTCTCCCTCTGTTTAACTTCTTCAATAAAACCTGTTAAACCTTTTCCCTGGTCTCTCTCAATTTGTTTCCCTGCATGTGGGTCCGAGCCTTAGATAAGATCATGACAAAAACAGGATGTTGAGCTGTAACTCAAGCTTTTAGGACAATATTTAGAATGAAATGTGGACATGTAAATCACTTTCTTACTCCTCTGGAGAAGTAAAAAAAAATCAACATTTCTGTTTTTAAAACTGCGTAAAAGAGCACAAACAGTGTGGAATTCTTATTTCCTCGTTCACAGGGTGATTCTACACAAGAAAAATTCTACATAAAATCTGATATTTTAATTTGTAGCCAGTAAGCATTTCTCAGATTTTTAAGTAAAGAACTAATAAACTACCTTTATGTCTCTAATATTTCCAAATAAAGGTAAAAGCCTCAATTTGGACATAGACAACTTTTATTGTCATTTTGTATACACAGTGAATACATAATAAAATTTTGTTTTGTATGGCTTTCAGACAGTAAATGAGCAGCAGCTTAGCAGAGAAATGAACACTTCCATTTCATAAAGTGAAGCAATGATCGAATGTAAACAGCGTGGGAGAAAAACATGGTGCAACACGCAATGATATGGAAGTTCAGAGCATTGCAGAGACAAATATGGTGCATTTAAAATCACTCAGTAAAGTACAGGTCCTCAAAGAATTAATGTACTAGACACCTTTGGTCCGAGGGGGATGGAAAAAAACACATTATCATCTTAAGTTTCAATATTTATTCATGCTTCTACAGGCTGTGCTTCTACAACGGGACATTCCTGCATATAACCAGAGATAAAGTTCAATTTGTTTAAATAAACAAAAAGAGATGTCTGCTGTTCAGCATGAATGGTAATTTCCAGCCAGAACGGAACACTCTCATACAGCAGCAGCACCTCCGTCACCCTGTTTGTTCACAACACAGATTACACAGCGCTGGCACAATCGCTAAAAGGCAGATAAGGGAATTAAGATCCTACTTGTAAGAAGAGTAGTTAATTAACCAGCAATGATAACGCACCTATTTACAACTGAGCACTGCTGCACTTTAAGAAATGGAAATGTCATGAGAGCTGCACAAAAAGAAATTTGGTTTTGCATACACTCTGTGGATACAAAATTACAATAAAAATTGTCTAAGTATATACTACATGAAAAACAGAGTTTTATGAAACATCTGAGGAACATTTACTTTTAGACCAAATATTGGATATTAAGTCTTCTGTTTTTTATTTTTTAACAGAATAATTGCTAAATTGGACACTGACATCGTAACCTCAGATTTAGGTTCACAGTGGAAAAACGATCTAGAAATAAGTAAAAATTTCTTCAATTAAGTGTATTTATCCTTAATTTGAGTAGTTAAATGATATAGTTTGCCAAAGGAATGAGTATTTTTACTCTTAAAATAAGATAATTAGATAATATGCACTTGAAATAAGACAATGCAATTGTGTTTTCTTATTTTCTTGTTCCATTGGCAAAATATCTCTTTTACCTCCTCAATCCAAGAACAATTGCACTTATTCTAAGAGAAAATGACTTATCTAGATTTCCCTTTTTTCTCCAGTGCACTGTTCTCTATGTATCAAAAAAGAGAAGTCTGATGGAGCAGATAGCCTGATATCACACGGGAGAGAACTTGAGTTTTTCTCATGGATGCTTGGCTGTTCAGTAAGATATTTAAACATGATAAATTTGTTGCACAACATACATCTGCCATTTCAAAGAGTCTAAACAAAGTCATCCTCCCAAAACTAACTGCTAAAATGTGCCTCGTATGAGAATTACAAAAGATGCTGTCAATTAGTGGACAATAATTTACAATCTACAAGATGGCCAAACTAAAATGTTCATTTTCTTAAAGGTCATAGGTACTTATAGCCTGGGTGCCAGTCCGAACTTAGTCCCGCCCACAAGGTTTGAGTTCGGGGAAGTTCGGTCTGGCTCTGCTCCATAGTAGCGCGAGTATTATCGCCCACTGTCAGGCGATCCAATCAAATTGTCAGGGCGGGCTTTATACGATGATGGACAGATGATCAAGAGTAACGTAATCAACCACGTGACCAAAGCGCGCTTGGGTGACAACAATAATGGCTGCCGCTGGAGAGTTTGGGTGAGTAGATTCTGCTATTAGGTCTGTTCTAGAAGATATCAACAGCAAATTAATTTTAAAAGAGGAACAGAGAAACGCGATCAAGTCTCATCTTCTTATTATAGGCGTGAAACTGCACGCTTTGATTTTTGTGGACAACAACTATGCCTCGCTTAAGATACGTCACGCACTCCGTTGCTCTTATTGGTTGTAGGTCTATCCAATTGAGTGCAGAGGCATTTTTTTTCCTGGTTCGTTCAAAACACGCCCCATAATCACAGCTCTATGGAGCAGTATCAGACTCATATTCTGACTAGAATTGAGTCGGACTACGTCAGGCTAAGGTATTTATGTATTTAAATACATTTATATTTAAATCTAAATAATATAAATATATTTATATAAATGTTTAGGGAGGAGAAGAATAAAAGTTATTTATTTTATTAAGAGAAGAATGGAGTATATGAATATGAATAGTTATTTCCCAAAAATTGGCAGCTGCAAAATATATAAAGATTTGCTTGCGGTTACTATAGCAACAATGACATTCTGATGAGAACTGTAGTTTGAAGTCATGTGACATGGAGCTATGGGCCGTTTCTCAATTCACTAGAACACGAGTACGGACTCGTGTCCTCGCCAAGTAAGAAAGAAGAGCAAAGGACAGTCTGGACTCTGGGAGAACGGGAGCACCCAGAATAAATATGGGTCAATTGGAACAGAAGCGTACTGATGACATCACCACACGCATCGGCTCCTCTGGATCTGCATTTCACCTCCTGTTATTAATAGTCTCTAGATAATAAATTCTCACTTTTTTCATTAAGTGGGGGAATATTAATTAACAAAGTCAGATAAATAAAAATCAAATGAACATTTTGCCAAATAAAACAAAAAACTCTCCAGCATAGCCAGCGGTCCTTCATGCATGCTATGCCAAGAGAGGGCTGCTGCAGACGGGCTAACGTTAGCCCTGGCTGCCGTTAGCCTCGGTGGTCCGCTGGTTTTCACAGTCCTCCCAACTTTAAAGTACAATATTCTCACCTCAAATAATCTTAACATTTACTTTTACAGAACAACGGCAACAGAAAAGGGAACTTTTAACTTAATACTCTGAGCTCTGTGAGAGCTCCATTGAAACCTGCTGCTGCTGCAGTGCATGCTGGGACAGCTGTCAATCTAAGAATGGACAAGTCTGCTCTGATGCATGCTGGGTAAAGAGGGAGAGGCGAGAACAACATCAAGGGACTTTGTCCATTCTCGGTCAGCTTGTTCTTGTGAATTGGAACAGTACTAGTGCTGAAGCTGATGAAGTTTCATGAGTACACATACTGGTAGCCCTGGTGTTGCCAAATCCATTAAGCTCAGACCTCAGGACCTCACCTATTCAGCCAGTCCAACAATTCCCTTTAACAACCCCCTTTCAGACACTTAGGCAGGTATGGGTTATTGCAGGCTAACAAAAGAAGCCAAAGGACCCCCATTCCAAAGGAGTGGAACCCTTCTACCCTTTCAATTTGCATGTTTTCAAAACAAAAACAAGGTTTTAATGGGCTACTGTATATGAAAAGGCTTCCTGGATGGGAAGCGAAACGTCTTCAAACTTGGAAACAAAGTCCAGTTGATTATTTTAAAATTTCTTTTTTTTTTAATGACTATGACCTGGAGGACTGAGAATTTTTACCAGCTTAGATAGATAGATAGATAGATAGATAGATAGATAGATAGATAGATAGATAGATAGATAGATAGATAGATAGATAGATAGATAGATAGATAGATAGATAGATAGATAGATAGATAGATAGATAGATAGATAGATAGATAGATAGATAGATAGATAGATGATAGATAGATGAGGACAACTATCCTTTAGCTGATATCTTAAATAAATCATAGTTACATAGAGTTCGGTTGATATAACAGTTTTTTCTACAGTAACTACACACATGACTTACTTAAATAATAACACTTCTTTAACAAAATGGAGCATCATCAAAGTGTTTAACAACTCGGCTAATTGGTAAAACAAAATATGGACACCCTACTATAACCATAATTGTATCTGTAGAAGGTAGGATGATAACGGAAAGCTTTGTTTGGCTCCAGCCTGTCCTCATAGCTGTCAGTGCTTTAAAGCAGAAATCCTCAGGTTTAAAGTGCAGCCTTTGCTGCCTGGAGGAGGTTGCTCACCTGGATCATGTAGAGCTGAGCAATGCGGTACTCCTCCACACTCATGGGCATGGGGATCCGGTACTCCTTGATCAGCATGGCGGTGCCTCACAGAGCCGACTCCTGCGTGCCTGCTTTGTGTCCAGAGGTAAAGCCGTGAAAGAGGCGTAGAGCTCCTCTCGGCTGGCTTTGCTAACCGAGCAGCATCCTCAAACGGCGAGCAGGAATGGGTTCGTCATTTTTTTCCCACCTGGGACAGGAAAAAAAAAATAGCTTTCATTGTGGAAACAAAAAACAAACCGATCGTGTCCCCGTCAGCCTCTGGCTTACTTACAACAAATAGGAGCTTGTCTGGGGGATTAAACCCTCCATATACAAGCCAACACATCCTGTGTGTGTGCTCCAGCAGATCTATTACAAGGTAATCCACTGACCCAGCAGCAGAAGCACTGAAATCCCCCTCCAACCTAAATCCCAACTCTGTGGCAGCAAAGATGCAGCAATCTTGCTTGCAAATGACTAATCTTTGCTGTGACCTTCCAAGGTTCTCTACCAATGCAATATGGCTTTGTTTATCAATCTTATTTAGGTCGAATTTAACCGTTCTTTGCTAAAAAAAATCCTTTTGACTTAAAATTTGTTGAAGGCTTTGATAACATGCACAGAAAGGAAGCAGAGGAATAAAAAAAGATATTAATGTCCATAGAAACCATTGTGCCATTGTTTGGCCTCAGACGGCCTGTTAGATGGTAAACTCTTAACTTTCTTTATTCCTAAAATCAGATCAGAACTTTCAGATCAACACCTCTAACAAAATACTTAGAACAGTTGATTTCATACTATACTTTTGTTTTCAGTAAAATTAATAATCTAGATCTTTTGTGGATGTACTGTTTAGAAATTATCAGAGATGGCAAAAGTACTCACTTTCCGAACTTGAGTAAAAGTACAGATACTTGTGTTAAAAAATACTCTGGTAAAAGTCGAAGTACTGATTAAACTTCTTTACTCAAGTAAAAGTAACAAAGTACAGGCTTGTAAATTTACTTAAAGTATAAAAGTAAAAGTAAAAAACCACTTTTTTCATGCCGTTGCCTACATTTTAAATGGATGTCTGCCAATAGGCCTAGATTTACGTTGTGTTCATTTTCAATCATCTCGTCGTCCATGCTACTATGCTAACGCCACCGCCACCAAGCTGCAATGATTTGCCGCCAATGAATACCGCCGAATCTGTCGATTCATCTTGTAGTGGTGCGTCAAATGCAACGTAGATTTCCATCCAATTAGATTGAATTATTGATGACGTGAAAAATAATAACGGTAACTCCATTGAAATGATTCAAAACTAAAGTAACGAGACAATTTTTTAAAATGTAAAGAGTAGAAAGTACAGATATTTGTGTAAAAATGTAAGGACTAGAAGTAAAAAGTCGCCATAAAAATAAGTAGTAAAGTCAAGTAAAAATATCAGAAAAATCTACTTGAGTACAGTAACGAAGTATTTGTACTTTGTTACTTCCCATCTCTGGAAATTATGATGAAAAAGTCAGATTCGTCCTTTTAAAAGTATCTGTGATGTAAACATGAGTGTGGCAACGGTGGCGTCGGTTGTAGGAGTTTGCCCTGAATTTCAAGGGTTGACGGTTCAAGCCCCAGCTCTGGCTTTTAGTGTCGTTGTGTCCTTGGGCAAGTCACTTCACCTGCATTGTCTACTGATGGTGATCAGAGGGCCCGGTGTACGGCAGCCTTGCTTGTGTCAGTGAGCCCCAGGGCATGCATGAATGGCTGAATGTAGTGTAAAGCAGTTTGGTCAAGTCTCCTGACTTGGAAAAGCGCTATATAAGTAGAGGCCATTTACCATTTGATGGAGTCTTTAACAGGCAACCTGAAATACTGGAACTAAACTTTCATTGTTTTTTGTTAATTCAAAGTATCACTAATGCATTCCATAGATCCATTGCTTAAATTAGGCGTTCCGGATGAGGTGGGATGAAACTGACCCTGCAAATCACCATGACGACACCTAAGCAGAACCACTGCCTGATCAGCCTGCGGTGGTGCTGAGGTGTGGCAGGAACCCAGGATGCTTAATGATGCCCTTCAGCTTGTCTGCTTTGTTGGCTCCCTCATCCTCCACTTGACTGGGTTTCTAATGAATCCAAATAACAGACAAGTTCTGCTATATTAAATTGATTTATTGACATAAATTAACTGTGAAAAGTGACTCATACTTATGAAATGGACTCGTGTTCCGGTGTTTTATGTTTATTTTATTTCATGTTCATTAAACTTTTTTTTTTCCTAAAAATGTACAGGAAAATAAAAATACTTTTCATCCATCCAACACCTATGAAGGCTGTCTTATCTAAAGGTGTGTGATACTTTTTATGAGTAAAAACACAACCTTCATGGCTAATATTGATAGATTTTTATATTTAATATCATTAAACTTTTGATCTTTTAGATTTGTTGTTCTCTCTACATATTTGATTAAAATCTTTGACAAAACATGAAGTTTAAAGGTGATCTACTTTTCTAACAGTATAGTAATAAAATAAACAGAAACAATAGAAAAGCAGAGCAAATCTGTGTGTATTAAACCTTAAATAAACAAAAAAAATTTAGCTGTAAGCAGATCAAAACAAATTATCTTCTGTGGCACAGTTGATAAACTTTAATCCAACTTTTTCTGAAAATTTTTGTTTGTGCTTTAGATACCTGAGATTTACCAGGTTATTATTATAATAAAAGAAAATAACATTTCTTAGGGATTGTTATGAAATAAATCTAGCAACTGAAGCAACTATTGGGAAAAAAAATTAAATATCAAACAATTGTTTAACTTTAGTGCTTATTAGGGGTGAGTATTGGCATGGGTGTTGTTTTTATTATTACAATACTGTGATATCACTATATATCACAATGTTTTTCCCAGCTATCAAAATTAAATGTATAGATAAAAAAGGAAGCGTTATATATTTTCATGAGAAGATATGGATCATTTAGTTATTTTGGTATCCCTGTTGTTTGGGGTTTGAGTCAGTCCACGTCTTCCACTATGACTGCCTCAACTAAACATATGGCACCACGTCGCACAGCAAAAGCACAGCTCTATCTGCCAGAGTGGCGGTGCAGAGTTAGCCCAATTGACCTCTTTGTTTTAGGCAAATTGTTTTGTGCTTTAAAATTGATATTAGGAACTAAAAAATCAATATTAAACTGGGCATCCAAAAATTACGATGTAACGCCGAATCGATTTGTTCCCACACCACTAGTGCTTATTATTGTTGCACTGATAGCGATACTGGTATCGGGCGGGGCCCCGATCCAGCGCTAAAATGGTGGTAATGTCGGCGAGTAAAAATAAATAGGACACTGATACCATTCTGAGGCCCTGTCCACACGAAGCCGAACCCTGGCCTAAACGCACAAATTTTTCACCAAACCAGCCTCTCATCCACACGAAGCCGGCGTTTCGGGGGTCTGTAAACGATATTTTTTTTATTCAGCCTTCAGAGTGGGAAGATTTTGAAACGCTGTTTTCGCGTTTCCATCTTTAAGCTCTAACCGCATTTTTTTTTTTACACGCATGCGTCATAGCGTCGCCTCTAAACACGCATGCGCAACACAGTATCACAACAACAATGGCGCCGTACTGTGTTGAATGGTTGCTGCTAATGCTACTCACCCTGCTGTCGGGCTTACAACAGAATATTCTTCTTCTGGAATATCTCCAGGAAGAACAGAGCAATATCGATGACATAGTTCATCACCTGAATTTGACTTAACCACGAAAATGGACCCACAGGGCAACCATGTATAAATATTAGTGCGCATGCCCAAAATTTCGTCGCTTATTTTTGCTTTGGCACCACAGCGCCACTTACAGGCCTGGCATACATTTTGCAGCGTTTTCATGCATTCGTGTGGACGATCACATTTATTCTACGTCTCCGTCTTTACGACAAACGTTTTTTGAAAATATCAGCGTTTCGTGTTCGTTTTGACTTCGTGTGGACGGGGCCTGAGAGCCAAAAGTTTATTCAACTATTGTCACCCATTCCAGGTAGGCAATAAAAAGTTCTACTGGATTCACTGTATTTGTCTTTTTCCTGCTTCACAAAGGAAGGCAGCAGCTTGACAAAGCCATGATGACAATTATTTTACATCCAAGGACACTGAAAAAAAACTAATGCTTTTTACTCTAAACTAGATAAAATTATTGATTTGATTGTGTAACTCATTCTTTTTGGATATTGAGACATCAAGTGTGATTTAACCTGAACTAAATACACGTACAAAGGAACAAAACAAAGTTTTTGATTTCTCTTAATATGTATATATTTATTCATGGCCTGCAGGTAATCGTTTTTTTTTTGAGTCAAATATGAACTGCGCTTTCCATGCAGTCACAGCAGGTGATCAAGTCCAAGCCCCAGAGCAGTGGCTAGCGCTGCTGCCTTGCAGTAAGAAGGTTATGGGTTCAATTCCAGATCCTTCTGCATGGAGTTTGCATATTCTCCTTGACCATTTGTGGGTTCTCTCTGTGTACTCTGGCTTCCTCCCACAGTCCAAAAACATGATTTTTAGGTTAATTGGCTTCCACATATAAGTGAGTGTGTGCGTGAATGGTCGTGTTTCGCTGTGATGGACTAGCGATCTGTCAAGGGTGTATAGAGTTTGTAAGATGGGAAATGGAAATTATTTTTGAAGTAAAGTCAAATGATAAGTGAAAAATCTAATTTGGTTATATTTAAATTAACTGATTTCTATACAAACATTAATTCTTGTTAATTTAGTTAAAAGTAAGTATATTAGTTTGGTTCATCAACTGAAATGTTCAGGAAATCATTTGGAACAGGGCAAAGATTTTAAGTTGTGTCAAGTCCAGTATTATAGTTTACATCAACATAATATATTCAGGTCATAACAAACGATTAAATTCTGATTCTGTGAAGTCAAATAATTTATTTTTTTTTTTTTGAGCAAGGTTATACTTTTTCCAGTGTAGTATGCTGTTCCTCATATATGCACACACATCAGTTTCAAACAGATGGTATCAGTCAATACTGCACAGCCAGGTTTTAAGTATCGGGACCAAAAAATAGCTTTGGAGGAACCCTAGTGCTTAGGGTTTCACTTGTAGCTGGTAAACACTGGAAGCACTGGAAAAAACAACTGCATGTTTTTGTTTTAACAACTAAATAAACTGAAGTTTTAGTGCAGTGTCTCTCAGGCTGAATGAGC